AGCGGAGGTCTGCGTCTGGTCACCGACAAAAAAAAAAAAAATAAACCACGGGTAAACCTAGAACCGCGCTCGGCCCATGGCCGCGCGGTTAATAAAAGTGAGGTTTTGTAAACACCGTTATGTTTGTCAGTCGTTGATTAAGTGCCCGCTGTCGAGAGGTTATTTTGGAAGTTGGCCTGAACGCGTTTTAGTGGCCGTTGCCGTTGTGGAGAGGCAACCGTTGTAGAGAGATTAAAATAAGAGCGAATGCATGGACCGTCAACCGGGATAAAAGAAAGTGGCCGTTGTAGAGAGGCGACCATTGTAGAAAGGTGGCCGTTGGTGGAGGTTCGACTGTAGGGACATAAGACTCCAAAGTTTACCATCAGCCGTTGCAGCACTTCCAAGATAATTTAAGCGTGTTGTTGGTGACACTGAAAGAAAGACAAAATACATGTAGTGATTTCCAAGATGGCAGTTCCGGTATGATGGATATACGATGTCATCAGACATGAAATCTGATGTCATGATCACCAAGTATTCTAAGGGCAATCTATCTAAGCAACTTTGACCCCACTATATGTCCTATTGCAACGAATCGGAGACCCAGGGGGAAGATCTGGAATAACTCCCTCTCGCCCATCCCCCTATTTTCGCGTTACAATTTGAGTTCGCTGAAAAATAAAAACAATATTCCTAATGTAGTCAACCGAAATGGTACTTTAGACGAAATACGAAAAACTTTTGGCTCTGTGACGAGTCTCGCGATTTTTCGCGCACACATGTATTTTTAGGGTCTATCAAGTTTTGGATGCAGTTGAGAACTTGGGCGCCTACCCTTTCATCTAAACTCCTACAACAACTCCTACACCTACTACAACTTTCCCGTGCTTTCCCAGTTCCCCATAAGTGCAGTGCCTTTTTTACCATACGACCTGGAAGAAATCGTATTTGAACTTGAACGTGATGCTGTTGACCCTAAAATATAACAGAAAATAAATATTGCTTTTGTGTAAACATTCTTTTAAAGGGGCGGTCTCACCAAGATTTAGTGCTACTTGAAAATCCAATGAAGGTGTTGGTATTAATTGGAAATCCACAAGTAGTTGCCTAAACTTGCTAAAATGCACCGTACTAGTCACGAAAGTTGTTGTTGTGGCTAAGGATGAGTAGGAAAGACGTAGTCTAAAACTTGAAAATGTCGTGCCGACGTTTTCAAGTTTGACAGTGTTACTTGGAGGAAAATCTCTTAGAGGAAAATCTCTTAGAGATTGAATTTATCCCTTTTTTGTCGTTTTGAGGTTATTTTGTTGATCAGTGAGTGCACCTTTATAATTCTAGCATAGTTTGCACAAAAACTTAGAAGACCTCTCGTGATACTGCCCCCTTAAAACTAGAGAAAACTGACAGGCAGAAAGGTGTCATCGTAACATACCATTCGGCAGAATAGATCTTTTTGTTTCGCTTGAAGTTAAACCTGAAGTGGAAAGGTCACAGCAAGTTATATGAACAAGGTATTAGACAAACTTCTAAACTCAGTGAACAGCAAGTTATATGAACAAGGTATCAGACAAACGTCTAAACTCAGTGAGGGGAGCGGGCAATTCATCATCATCATCATCATCGTCAACATCATCATCATCAACATCAACATCATGATATCATATTGTATTATGGTAACTTGGTATCAAAATATAATTATACAGTGGAATTACTTACCATTGCCTGTGGAGGACGTTGGAAGATAACTTGAGTAGGATGGCGATGATACTAAAGCAAAAACAGAAAAAAAAAGAAATTGGTCAAAAACAGTAACGTTACTGTTAGTACTGAACCTAAAAATTTAAAGATGAATGATGCGCACCGATGAATTAAACCAAAGTTAGTTTGATTGGATAGAACTCCTTGGTTATCATGGATTTGAACAGAAGTAGGCAAGTGTAAAAGTATTGAATAGTTTCAGTGAAAGTACTATTAGCTAACTACAAAGAAATTACTTCGTTCACGAGTTCTAAAACAGGAAATCTGCAAAGGATAACATATACTAATCGAAGAGAAGCCGAATCTCTCATTGGCGTACATAACTCCATAGACACACAACTCAAGAGCGCCTGTTGTGTCGAAACTACGATTCCATCGTGCTTTCCAAAATCATCGTACATCTATTTAACAATTAGATCATGAGCTCGAGATTTCTATGCGGTGATAGTTGATGAGGCTGAAGACCGAGTCACCTATCACCTATAGAAATCGAAAGCGAGTAATCTTATTTCTTTAGTAGAATTCTAACTGAAGTAAACGCAAAAAACGGTTTCCAATGATTTCTCTACGTACGTATTATTAAACTTCACGCTTTAACAAAATTGCTCGGACTGAATTTTGTCAATATGGAAATTTGTAGTTGTTTTACGCGCGCGCACCCATGTTTTCAATGTTTCAAGGTTTTAAAGTCAAGATACCGTTAATGTCCTTCTTTTAGTCTTCTCAGAAATTTAACTATCCAATTGCATCTAAACACTCCCCCAAAACTGCGGGAAAACGTAAAAAGGTCACCATTTCGTCGACGAATGGCAGCCACAGCATTCCAATGGCTCATAGTATACTAGTAGCTCAGCCAATCAGATTGCAGCATTCGCATTAGTATTTATACTAGTAGAATTCTACTAAACCTCGTCAGACGTACGCTAAGCGAGTGAACTGTTTCTTAGTAATATAATTAGCGAAAGTGACATTTCGTACCATAAGGAGTGGAAGCAATTGCATTTGAAGTTGAACGTGATGTTGACACTGAAAAAACGAAAATTAAAAACGTTAATATGTACAGGTATTAGGTAAACATTACATTAAGGCCAAAACCCGATGAAATTGCAGGAAGATGTCATAGTAATTTTACCACTTAGTGAATTGGCTCTCTCTGGTTCGCTTGAGGTTTTTGGTTCACTTGGAAATTCTAAAGGTGAAGAGGTTCAAGAATACACTTTTATGCTTTCAATAGAACATTTCCGAATTACCTTTAGCCTTTTTCACAAAGCGAGTCTTGACGCCAATCCTTTCATATGAAAATGAGATTTCATTCACATGCAAATTAAACTCATTCTCAAATGAGTGGTTGTGCACCAGACTTCGCTTTGATAGCGAGGCTTCAGTAAACTTGGAAATGGGCTATTTTAATAACTTTGATGACCGTTAAATTATATATCGATCAGGTATGTAACTGAATTGGTTGAGAGATGAGATTGTAAGTAAACTTGAATAGGGGATGGCGATAATGCTAAAGGAAAATAAGGTAATAATAAAAATAATAATAATAATAATGATAATAATAATAATATAATGGTAATGGTAATGGTAATAGTAATAGAAATAATTATAATAATAGTAATAGTAATAATAATAATAATAATAAATAGGTCTGCAAAATGTAGCGTTATTGCTTAAAACTATACTGGGGCTGATCTATTTTTAAAACACAATTTCCAAAAACATGCCCCTGCAAGGGTACTCTTTTGAATTTTACCTCTTTGTGGTGTAGTGGATTTCTTTTGTTGGCCTGCAGTTGGACTTGGGTCCTCTATCACGGAAGCTCACACGAGTGAAAAAACAAGGTAATTGTTAAATTCCCAAATCATCTTGTTCGCCAACGCATTGTTGAACTCAAGAACTCGGTAATTGGTAAATATTTCTTGCAAGCCCAGGGAGATACAAATCTTCCCAAAGAAAGCCAGTTTCGCTGGCATTCTCCGAAAGTGCCAAAGCAGTTCATTGCCTCGAAAATGAGGCATAAAACTATAAAAGAACGTAACTAGCTGACTACATTCGTTCGAAACTCCTTGTCTTAAAGAACATTTTTTACCCCTTTTATTTCTCTGTGATTAATAACTTTTGTTTTATTTAGTATTTGAAAAACTGTCTTTTTGACTTCATAATGACGTTAGCTAAACGTGGAAACGTCGTCGTTTTTTAACAAAATCCTTTGTTAATATTGTTGTTAAGAAATATTTTTTGGATGTTTCTACAGTTAATTGTTTACTGGAAAAGCATTATTTCATTAATTTCACTGTTTTGTTGCGCCACATATTGAGAAGTACGAGGCAATGACAACATTTTTTCAAAAGAAACGACACTATTATCATTGGTTGCCACTAATTTATAGTCGTTTGTATTCTTACGGATCTTTATCAACATATAAATTCAAAATTGAAGAATCAATGGGACAATTGAATTACCTTCTGCCTCTGTTTCAAAACGAGTCTTCGTGCAAACCTTTCATATGAAAATGAGTTTGATTTGCATGAAAATAAACTTGTAAGCGGAACACATTTTCATATGAGTGGTTTCAAACGAAGACTCGTTTTGACAAGAAGCTACAAGAGGCAACTTGGAAATGGCCTTTTTGTGGTATTAACATATCAGCCAGTCCTACTGATTACCTTGAGGTTTTTGAGTCTTGTTTACACACCGGTATGACCCATTATCGGTGAACCCATTCTGACAGAGTAGATTGGGAGAACAGGGACTCTTTACACAGGCGTTCTAAAAGAAAATAATATTTAAAAAAAAGAAAGAAACGATAGTTAATTACAACCAAAAAACGTACGCCTCTTGAGCTCGATATTATCGAGGGAAATATCGCTCAGACAGGGCGCCTTGCTCACTTAAAAGAGGAATGAAACTTTCCTTCGGTGAACGAGTGTTTCCTCAGCATTTTAAACCTTCCTCGGGCTTCCCAAAGTGGTTTTGCAAATGAGGAGGAAAAAACACTTGTTTGTCGGGATTATCATCAGAATGGAAAAATTTCTTTGTTTGGACGATTAATGATAAAAACTCTCGCCAGTTCTGATCAGTGAATGGTGTAAAGCTTTCAAAATTTCTGCAATTTATACATGTATTTTAATAAAAATTACTTTAGCCGCTCTATAGGTGAATCCATTTTGACGTGCAAGTGCCTCAGGGTGCATCTCATGATCAGAATCACTCAATTCACAAATGTAGACGCCGTCCTCGTGCGAAGGTCCAACATTGTAAGACACGCAGCCATGTTCCACAAAGCACCTTACTTCACAAGTGCTTTCTTTCTGCACCGTAAAAGTTTTAAATACGTGACCCTGGAGAGAATACCCCTCCATAGCGGGCTTGAATCTCAAAATCCGGCAGTCACCTGTAAAAGAACGAAAGTTATATTATCTGTTAATTTAAATAAGCTGTGAAATATTTTCACTTCAAGATTACCTTGCCTTATAATAAATTTTTTCGTTGCGTTCATCTTTAAACAGTGGTAACCGGGTGCAGTCTGTTGTGGAAACTTCGTTTGTGGGTAAATTAATTGAAGAGTGCAAGTTTAATTAAGAAAACCTGACGGTGCTTGGCCTGGATTCATTAAAATTTAGGTTGAGACAGCTGCCCAGGAGATTTTTTATCCTAGTTGCTTTGTCTTTACGTTACACTAAAAATATATACATATATATTGCCTTTCACATCATGGCCACAAATAAGTTGAAGACAAATTCAAAAGTAGTTAGAAATGAGTAAATTTCCTTTCCGAATGGTACACTACGACATGAAAACCTCAATAGTCTAAATAACTCTTCCATTATATTTTTTTCCAATCGATTCCCAGAGATTCCTTCCGTGTCAAAAGTATCAAAAAACAACTGATAGAAGTTTCACAACAAATTGTATGAAGCATCAGTATCAGTAAGGCGCGATCGGTACAAACTTTCGTTGAAAAGAGTTTTGCCACAAGGCTTTGGAAGCTGGACTTTCAGTTTCAACGTTACTTTTCTTGCTTCAGATGCCATCCTTTAAGCACGATATCATCGAAATGCCTCTTCAATATTTAATTTAAGGTTAGCTTACGGCACGTAAAGTTGCTTACAAAGTTGTTATTATTCTTTTTATGAATCTGAATTGAGTAAGAGCTAGGAAGTATAGGACGTTGAGTCAAATGTTAGAGCTGATAACAGTACT